CCCTTTTTAGGAAATAAGGATATTAAAATGTGTAATATGTGAAGTTTAATCTTGAACAAATGGAAAAGAGAAATGCAGAAGGTTGAAATGAACTAAACTTGAACAGTATGTACAATATTGGCATTTAAGAGAGACTTTATAGACGTATCAACTTTATAGAGGGTGTCCTCATGTGATGAATTAAAGCCTCTTGTTAATGTATGCACACTCCGCCCCGCAAGAAGTCGATTGGAAGCCAGCGTCAGGGGACGGACTTATGCCACAGAGCAAAACCCGAATGCCAAACAGAATCCATAGCTTGTTAGCTAGCTTGCTTGCTGCTCTCCTGCTCTGGCCTGTCGCTGTGTTAGAGCCCATACGTGTGCTCACACATTTACCATCAAAGCGACCAGCCATCTAAAACTCAACACTTCAGTGATACTTCGTTGAAATCGTCAACAAACTTGAAAGTCTTGCACACTAAGACTCTCAGCAGATTGCTGGCGCCTCTGCTTCATCACAGACCAACGAGGGGTTTCCCAAAGGACGTCATCCTGACGTCACCGACCAGTCAGTGACGGGGTTTCCCTCAAAGACCTCCAGGAAGCAACCGCGGAGTCACCTCAGCTCTCAACCAGCGGAACGCAAGTAAACAACAATTCTCTAATCTGCTGAACTGGTGAATTTAGATTCGTTGCTCTGTGAATTCTTAAGGTGAATTCCCATCCCTCGTGAAAACGAGGTAGAACTATGAAACTCAGAACTCCGTTAACAGACTTTCCTTCCTCTGAACTGTATGTTTGTGTGTTTTAGCTTAAGTTTATGTGATCTAGAATAGCCAATAAATTTCATGTTTCATTTATAAATACTCAATTGTCTGGTGTCATATAATTTGATGTCAATTCTATTGCCAAAAAGATCCTTGCTTGCTACCTTAGCTCGTAGCTTACTCATAATAATTACCTCTCTTTCAAGAGCTGACAAATTATCATAACTGTATTTCACCCGTGGCCAGGGAGAATACAAAATTTACATATTCAATTGGTAATATACACTGACATCAACTTCTCGCTGGCCGAGTAGCTGATAAAAGTATAAACTATTGAAAGTCAAAGTCAGTTTTGATCAGGCGGACCTCGAATTCTCAGATCGAGTTCTTTTAAAACCTGAGCTAGAAATAAACCTGAATGAATTAATAATGATTAATTCCCTTACAACTAAGTAAAATTATTACATAGTGTACATCATTGTTTGAGGAATAAAGAGCAGATCATTTTTTGATACCAAGAAAGAAACATCTAGAAGATATTAAACCAGAGATACATTCATACACCTGAATATAAGCATTTAGATCTTAACTAATACAAATAACGAGTGGTAACTAGGCTAATATAATAGGGAAACATACAGACAACACATGCATATACCAGATACATTTGTAACTGATTGATTATAGTCTAAATAAAGAAAATGTCTTTATGTGTGTGTGTTATGTGAGCATGGTGTAGTTTGCTGGTCAGCCAGGCCAGTGCCAGGCACCAACGCCTGGCACTGGGGATCATTTACGTCTCTTTGGAATGTGTTTGAAGTTCGATGGGGAGACGAGAGTGGTGAAACTGTTTAGCATCTCCTTGATAGTGGGGGGAACCATTGGCAATTTAGCACCCATATAAATGTAGAATGTGGGGCCATGTCTGTAATTTATATGCAAATGTCAAAAGGCTAAAAGGGTTCTCTAAGACATAAAACCCCAATGATCATCCATTATTTTAAGCAGATGCTACACTAACATAGTGTTACTGTTCACAGAAGCACTAAACTAAGCTTCTTGTGATATAAAACTTCTAACTTCATGAGCATAAAACTCCTAACACATTAAAATCTGTCTTTCTGCATTGCAAATAACATTTCATTTCATATGTTCGAAACATCTTTCATGTGGACAAGCTTTAGTCTTAACATTGCATAAACCAACTTTCTCTTACAGAGAAAGAAAGTTTCCCTTGAACAAACTCCTAATTTGCTGCTTATTAATAGTTAGTTGTTAAGTTTAGGTAAGGGGTGGATTAAGGGATCTACAATACGGTCATGCAGAATAAGGTATAATTATGTGCTTTATAAGTACTAATAAACAGCCAATATGCTAGTAATATGCATGCTAACAAGCAACTAATTAAGAGTGAGAATTCGTCCTTAAAATAATGTGTTACCAAAACTCCTAACACATTAAAACCTGTCTTTTTGCATTGCAAATAACAATTCATTTCATATAGTAGAAACATATTTCATGTGGGCAAGCTTTAGTCTTAACATTGCATAAACCAACTTTCTCTTACAGAGAAAGGTTTTCAGCATATGTGGGCTTGCATTCTCTTCATTTGCTTAGTGGCACTAACCTAGTGTTACTGTTCACAGAAGCGCTAACCTAAGCTTCTACTGCTTAAAGCGCTAACGTAAGTTCCCTATCGATACTTCACTCGTACTGTGTCTGCTAAAGACGCTATGGGAAAAAGCCTTTTTTTCCCTGAACTGAAGCCTTTTCAATCACGCAGTGAAAATGCATGGCCATTGGTTCGGGCAGTGTATAAAAAACAAATCAAAGGCTCGGCAGCGGAGCTGCACAAGCCTATGGCGACAAAGCCCGCCAGAGCCTGCCAGAATGGGTGGGGTCATCTGGCTATATAAACAGGCGTTCACCACAGGATTCTCAGATTTCTTCTACGCTGATTCCGAAGAGCTTACTAAAAGAGCTTGGTGTTGCTGCAAATGCCGCGCTGTTACTGCGGTTCGTGCGGGTCTCCCCTGCACGCCGATGATGGCCACACGGAGTGCGTTTCCTGCTTGGGCAAATTCCACGTGGCAGCTGCGCTCACGACAACTGATTGTTCTCACTGCGAGAACTTCAGTCTCGCCTCTCTATGCTCGCGGATCGCTTTCTTTTCAGAGAGCGACTCCACCCCTTGCGTCCTCCTGTTTTCTTCCTCCCAGGGACCTGTGAGGAAAAAACAGTGGGGCAGAGGACTCGAGCTTCCTGCTGCGAGCGAGCTCACGCCGGCCCAGATCCCGCGTGCCTCGCCCTCGCCTCAGAGAGAGAGTTCACCCGTCCTCTTCTCTCAATCTGACCAGCGTCCCTCTACTGGCGCAAGCGATCTGGTCTTGTTTGGGGGTAGTGAAGACGAGCTGCCCGATGACAGCATGTCATTGACAGCCTAGGGACGCAGAGGCTCAGTACCGAACCCACCCCATTGCTATCGTCCACGCCCAGCGCCACCAAAGACGGGATGGATGCCAAGCTTCTCCGTATCCTCTCGAAAGCGGTCGAAGAGTTGGGTTTAGAGTGGTCTCCACCAGAGGAGCCCTCTCGGAGCCGTCTGGACGAGTGGTTCCTGCAGGGGCGTCATCAGGCCCCTTG